TCCCCCCTGCTTCCTCTCTCTCCCCTCCAGACCAGGATGTCCCACCCTATCCTCTCCATTGCACAGCATTGGAGCTGGTTGTTTAAATGACAATATAGAGAACAAATGGTGGCGTGTTTACACAAACTTGAGACAGGGGATGCCAGTAACTATAATTCATCCTGCCCCATCCCTTCCACCATTGTAAGGATCTGAGTTTCTTCTACTTCTTCCTCCTCTGGTGTCCCGATGATCATACATTACATCCTTTGGAGTTATCCCACAATTCTTAGGAATTGTTCTTTGCTTTTGTCTTGTTCTCTGTGATGATCTGAAAGTTTTTATTGACGTATCCTTAAAGCTCTGAGATTTTCTCAAGCCATACACCACCTACCAATAAGCTCTCCACAGTCATCCTTTATTTCAGTTGTAGTGTTTGTGATATATAACATTTCTTTTTGTTCCTTTCTTAGAATACCCACCTCTGCTTACATGCCTATATAACCTTTCTGTCTTTGCAAACTGCTTACTTTTTATGCTAGATCTCTTTGAATTTTATAGTTTTTGAAAATTGTGGAGATATTTTTTGGTAATGGAAATAAATCCCGGATCTTATACATGTTGAGCAAGTTCTCTACACTGAGCCAAAACTCAAGTTTTTTTTTTTTTTCTTTTTCTTAATTCTTGATTCGATCACTCTACTTTCCTCATTTGTGTGATCAAGATCTCGCCACTGTAGTCTTTCATGTTTAGTTTTGCATGCACCTTGTTGAAAGCTAGTCATGGTGTACTGAGAAAGAACTGTTTTAGCTGTCCACTGTGATGTGTTGGTAAGGCCTGAGGAAAAGTGTTCTATCTTCTATAAGTAGAGCTATCTTTTGATGAACCCACACCCCTGTTTGGGAACTCTACCAGTGTTTCCAGACCTTTTCTCTCCTTAAGACAGAGTAGTTGGATAGCTGAGTAGCTCCTTTCTCCCATGTACATGTGTATTCCACCTTTTTCTGGTAGAAGCTTAGACTGGCTAGAATTGAGACTTCCCTTGTACCAGGTGAATTAGGCTTTTTTTTTTTTTTAATATAGCAGATAGAACCAGAGGAAAAACATTTTTCTTCCCAAAGAGAAGGCCTTGTTACAAATGCTCTGGCATAAATACTTCCAAATGCTTCCTTTACCCTGAAAATCAGAGAGAACTTTTCCCCAACATTCCCAGTGATGATCCTGAGGTAAAACTCAAAGCTCTTCCCTTCAAGCTACCATACAGGCCTCTACTTCTATATTTCTGCTCTGTTTTGATTGCTTATGTTTACCCTCCTTTATCCTTGAGGTCACCTTTTTGAGGTATATCAGAAGGGTTGCTCATCTCTGAGTCTTACACTGGAGTAAATTTTTCCAAGCGCCTTCCATTCCAGACTTTAAGTCTTACAGCACTTTTTAAGCCTGTGTCTTTAAGTGGTATAAATGGCACATTCTGAGTATGTAAAAGGCTCAGTTTCTGAATCTTCTGTTTTATTTCCTTAGTTTTTAATCTCAGTTATCTATGGCTGTGACAAGACACCATGACCAAGGCAAGTTATGAAAGGAAGCATTTAATTGGGGGCTTACTTATTACAGTTTCAGAAGACAAGTCCATGACTATCATGGAAGGGAGCCTGACAGCAGGCAGACAGGCAGGCACTGCAGCAGTAGTTGAGAGCTCACATGTAGATACAACAACCAAGATATAGATAGATAGACAGATAGATAGATAGACAGACAGATAGATAGAGCCAGATGTAATGGCATGTGCTTTTGAAACCTCATAGCCCACACTCAGTCATGTATGTCTTCCAATGAGACTATACCTCCTAATTCTTAAATATATAAGCCCATGGGGGTTATAGAAGCTCAGTCAAACCAACACAGGTTTAATCTTCTATGAACAAAGCCAACAGGTTCATCAAGTCAGGTTATCAGGCCACTGACTTGAGTTGCCAACTTCCTTTTCCTGACTTGCCAAGGCCATGTTTTCCCTTGGGGCTATAGATGAGCATTTCACTTTCCTAATTTGACTGTGCCCTAAGGCTCATGTTATGAGTTTACCAAGAGTCACTGCTAATTTCTTACCTGTTAGCTGTCTGTCAGATTGTCAGATACCAGAAAGAAAAAACAGCCCCCAAGGCCAGGCTCATCTCTCTGGATTTCCATTTTATGCCAAGTTTCTGTTTTACATATTTCAGTGCTTAGTGTTAGCATTGACTTTTTTTTTTTTTTTTAGCTGTCTACCTTTTCTAGTTCATTATTGAAGAAACCTTGTTCACAGGTTTACCTAATCTACCTTCCCCAGCTGTATTTTGAGCATCTGTATGTTCTGTTCCTTCTAGTTTGAGAAAGTCTATGCTCGTTGTTCCCCAACCCTAGTTTCTATCACTTAACTCCTGCTATTGATGGGTGCTAAGGACCACTGAGAGCTTTCACTGGCCCCCTGATTGCCTTGGGTATTTTTTTTTATAGCATCTCATGACATTCTCCAAGGTTTTCATTGTACTTATGGATTATAATTACATATTCATTGAAGTTTTCATTTCATTTCATGTTTATCTCCTTTGTGGAATTTAAGACTCTTAAGAAAAAGCCACATCACTCAAGGAACAAAGACAGAAAGATGGCTAGTTTTAGGCCAAGGCAGGGTACATACTAAAGGCCTGGCTCAAATAGATGAGCAAATAAATAAAATGAAAGATAAAAAGAAGAGCTGTATTGTTTTATCGTAGCTATTCTGACTGGTGTAAGATGGAATATCAGATTCGGTTTGATTTGCATTTTCCTGATGACTAAGAAAGCTGAACCTTTCTTTAAGTGATTCTTGGCCATTCAAGATTCCTCTGTTGAGAAGTCTATGTTTAGTTTTGTGCCCCATTTTTTAAAAAAGAAATTGGGTTATTTTGTTTATTGTTGTTTGATTTCTTGAGTTCTTTATATATTTTGGATAGTAGCCCTTTGTTGGATGTAGGATTGATGAAGATCTCTTCCCAATCTGTAGATTGTCTTTTCCTTCTATTGACAGTGACCTTTGTCTTACAGAAGCTTTTCAGTTTCAAGAGGTCTCATTTATTAATTGTTGATCTTAGAGCCTGAGCTGTTGGTATTTTGTTCAAGAAGTTGTCTCCTGCAACAATGAGTTCCAGGCTCTTTCTTTCCCACTTTCTCTTAATAGATTTACTGTATCTGGTGTTATATTGAGGTCTTTGATCCACACGGATTTGAGTTTTGTGCAGGGAGATAAACATGCATCTCTTATCATTTTTCTACATGTAGAAATCCACCATTTGTTGAAGGTACTGTCTTTTTTTTTTTTTTTCCCATTGTATGGTTTTGGCTCCTTTGTCAAAAATCAAGAAACTATAGGTATGTCTTTTTATCCCTGGGTTTGGGATTCAATTCCATCTATTAACCAGTCTACTTCTATGTCAGCACTATGTAGTTTTTATTACTACCCTGCCTACGAGATAAAGATGTAGGGATAAAGATATTGCAGGTAGAGCAGAGATCGAGGGAATGTCCAACCAACATGCCTAGCCCAACAAAGACCCACCCTATCGGAGAGTGCCAACCCTTGACACTATGAAAGGCACTCTGCTAAGCTTGCAGACAGGAGCCTGTCAGAGTTGTCTTCTGAGAGGCTCTACCCAGCAGTGCCTCAAAACAGATGCTGAGACTCAGAGCCAAACGTTGATCAATGCATAGGGAGTCTTGAGGAATAGTGGGAGGAAAGAGAAAAGGACCCAAAAGTGACAGGAGCTCCACAAGAAAAACAACAGAGCCAACTAACCAGGGCCCAGAGGGGTTTTCTGAGACTGAAGCATCAACCAAAGACCATGCATGGACTGGACCTAGACCGCATGCAAAGATGTAGCAGATGGGCAGCATATGCTTCAAGTGGGTCTTCTAGTAAGAGAAGTGGGGACTGTATTGGAGAAGGACTCACTTGGTAGCTTTTAGAGCACTTTCCTCTGGCGGGACTGCCTTGACAGGCCACAGGGGAAGATGACAAGTTCAGACTTGATGCAACTTGATGAGCTGGAGTGGATGGGAAAGGGAGCTCCCCTTTTATGAGGAAAAGAGGAGGAGGGAGAGGGAAGAAAGAGGGGTTTGGCCTGGGGGGGGAGGAGGGAAGGGACTACAAGGATGTGAAGTGAATAAAATGAATAAATGAGAAAAAAATAGAGCTGTATTATTTTTTCAACTGTACCTTACAACAGTGACTTAGGTGAAGAATTTAGAATTTTTTCATAGGTGGAATATATTGATGATGGAGTGAAATGTCATCCATGGAACACAGCAGAATTTAGAGGAAGTAGCAATTATGCTTCAGAGGACAGAGATGATTCATTTATTTTTTTCTTATTTTTGAAAATTTGTCATAAAATATTTCAGATATATTAAAATTCAACATGTTTTATAAGGTACATATATAACTGTCACTATTACTCTATTACTTATATCTTAATAAGAAATAGCATATTTATACAAATCTATATAGTTAACTCAGATAAACAAGAATATTGTGTATGCAGCAATTATTTTGGCTTTTAATTTTTGATATTTATTTGTTGTTGGGGGCACTTATTCTTGTATTACGGCACATATGGAGGTCAGGGGTATATCATGGGAATTTGCTTCCCTGCTTCCATTATAGGGTTCCAGGGGTCAAAGTCAGGTTCTTAGGCCTGGTGGCAGATGCTTATACATATTGATTCATCTTGTTGGATGTATTTTGGCAAACAAAGACGACAGAGATAAGAAAAAGGGCCATATTTATTTTTTTCATTATAGCCTCAAGTTATGACATGAATGGAGAATTTAATATTTCTTCATAGATGGAATACATGAATGGAAAGTTGAATGAGACTTTCATTCATGGAAAACAGCAGAAGTTAAAGGAAGGAGGGAAGCACTTATGCCTTTGTTAATGAAGTAGACTGAAGCAAGTTATTATTACTGACTTTTTGACTTGAGGAAATTTTCTTTCAAACTTTCAGATGATACAGCAGTGTTCGAGTTGATACAGCTAGTTCCACCAGGTATTTTATTATTATTGATAAGATGACTCCTAAAGCAACTCATCCCAGTGAAATGTTCCTAAATCTCTCCTCTCCCTCTCCCTACCAAATTAACAGCAATGCTTATTTTTAGCCCATTGATTTGCTGTGTATATGTCAAAACAGTATATACAGAAAGGTAGACATAAATGCCAATTGAATGCATCGTTCTGAAGTTAAGTACGTTAAAATAATTGAAAGTGGGCGATAATATCTTCATAATTTTGTGACAGTAATATAAATTGATTTTATCAATTTTTGAGATTTTAAAAATAAAATACATATTTTTTTAATTAAATAGGGTTTTTGTGTGTTGGCTATTATTGAGAATGAAGAGGGTCATAGCCATACTTATTTATAGGGTAAACACTGGTTCCTGAGGAAAGAGGTTACTTATTAAAATATAGAAACTAGTTTATTGTTGATACTGATTTCTAGGATTATCAGAGTTCTTTATTTTATGAAACACATACCTATATTTTATTAAATACAAGTAATCCAGAATTTTCAGTATTGCACACATTCTTAATTCACTAGTCACGAAGTCTATAAACCGTTTCAATTATTTTTAATGTCCAATCTTACACTCTTATGACAGCAGACAGAAAAGACTGAAGATAGGAAAGATGTTAAAGATGGTAATAAGCTTTGGATGTATAAATTTCATGAACTTTATATTTTTAAAGAACTTCCTTTTGTAAGAGTCCCTAGGTTCTCACTGAGTTTACATGAATATCCCTGTTCCCCAAAGGTGTGAGGCAGAGAATTACTATAGCGTATTTCTGAAAGAAAATGTATTAAAGTACTTAATGTATCTTTATTTTAATTTTCCTTTTATAGAAGATTAACACAGACTTCAAGCAGGCATACAATAAGGCATCAGGCATTATATATATTATACTTGATGATTTTGTTTCTAAATAGAATGTTTTGTTATAATTTGAATCATAGGATATCTCTCTTATAGTGGGAGAAACACTGTCCACCTATGATGAAAATACACGAGATTTCATGTTCCCGGGTCCAAACCAAATTTCTGGGCACCATGATTCAAACCGCCAGGTTACCATGAGGAGGATTTCTGGACTAAGAGTAAGTGAGTCTGGTTTTCCAAGTCAGCTCTTGATGTAGGCTCATGGGTGAGAACTACCACTGAGGCCTCAGTACCATGTATGTGTAAAACTAACTCAAGTTTAATTTAGTTTCAAACTTGTTTTGTATAATTGTGCTATTTTAACCATCCTGATTGTAATTTTCAAAAAATAAGGCATTTAACATCATAACTAACACATGTCATATTGGCTGACTGTTGTGACAATTTGTAACTCCTTTCTCCTCTGCACTGTCTGTCCTCATCTCCGACCCATGTCTCTCTGTTACCTTTCTCTGTTTCTGTTTAGGGAAGGTTCAACAAAGAGTTGAACAATAACCAGTCTTAAGATTTAGGGAAACCCAAATTTAAAAAATGGTCTTTGAGACATATGATTTATTGGAAATGTTAATAAACATTTAAATATTTACAAATTGAGAATTTTTGTATGCTGCTGTGTCATATAAGCTGAACAATCAAAACTCAGTATTTAATACAGACCAAGATTTTCTAGCATTTTATCTTCTATGAAGGTATGTGTCTTCAATATATCCCATAAGCCATGTTAACATTATTTCACCCTAGTGCTAGAGATGGGACACAGGGCCTTCCATGCACCTCCAGATTAAGATGTGTTCTTGTAGTTTTGTTAACAATGATTAAAAATAAAAATAACTAAAATGCCTAGCTTGAATAAAGCTTGGATAGATAGGTGATAAAGTGTTCATAGATTGTACACCTAAGCATAAGTGCTGCATTGAATGGTAATAATTGTGTGACAAGTAAGCATCATTAGCTCCATAGTGCGACCACGCAAAGCTCTCCCACCTTTTCTTGTAACTCCCTGATTTAAACATACCTTTATTCATGAAAATCAGCTTGCCTCTCAGAAAAACTCAAAGACGCCCACTTGTTTCAAAAGCAGAGAAGGAGAAGTTAGTTGCAGGGCTTGAAATTATTTGGATGAATAGTTTATTATTTGGATAAATAGTTTTTAAACTAATTTTATGGACTCTCAAAATAACAGTGTGAAATTGACTCTGTAACAATCTATAAAAACCTTTCCTCTGTGGGATATTTTTAAAAGTCATTAGTCAGCTTTTATGTTTTAACTGCCTTCAAAGAGTATTTTAAGAGTCATGTGGAAGCTCACAAAGGAAAATATATATATATATATATATATATATATATATATATATATATATATAAAGTTTATGTTCTCTTTAAGGTGATTTAAGTTGCTTTGTCATACAAAGACAGTAATAGAGAATCAACTGTAGACTGTTGACGGGGATTTTCTTTTATCTCTTGCATTGCTTTTGCATATATTTGAAAGGTGTCTGATTACTGAGAAAAGGTACATGAAAATCAGGACTTCCAATAACAGCTATGTAAAGAGTTTGACAGGTCGTCTGTGTAGATTAAGCAAATGTGAAACGGGGTCAAAGTTACCATACTCAACGTCGGGCAGTGAATACAGACTAACAACTACAGCAAGCAGATGAGGTGTTGTTTTTGTTCTTCAAAATTGGCCCATTTTAGGTAATATTGCAGGAATTTGGGACTCCTTTGCCTGGGACGTTCCCATGCCTACTCATCAGTGACAACTGTAATCTTTACCGACTGAAAATAGACACAAGGAGCAGCAGCTTTGGCACCAAGGAGTTGAGAGGTGATGTGATTGGCTTGGCTCTGCCAGCAAACAGTGGTGGATCTTGTTGGTAGCACAAGGAGAAACTGTACAACTTCACAAGGCCCATTGTTCTACTGACTGGGGTCAATGGCACACCTTCTAAGAGACTGACAGGCAGATCCAGAAACAAAGGGACAAGAAGAGGGTGAAGAGAAGCCCTCTCCCTTTCCTATGTTCCTTCAAAAGTCATGCACAGGGGAGACAGTGGGAGATGAAAAGAAACCCAGAGAAACCAACTGTAGCTATGAATTTATTTTCTCACCTATCACTGAAAGTCAGCGGTGGGGAGGGGGACACAGGGTAGCTTTTCTAGAAAGAACTGAAGAATACAGAAGACATGGAACAGAGTATAAACTGAACATCAAAATTATGGCATAAGTCCAGCCATATCAATAATTGCATTTACATATAAGTAAAAACAAGTGATCTAGTCAGTGGTTTGTGGTCCTGTCAAGCAACAATGACTCATCTTCAGAATTCTTGTAATTCTGAGCTATCATCTTTGAGTCCCACTACTGTGACAAGGGTTCAAACCAGTATCTGGAATTAAATCCGGGCACTCTTATGGATTTACTTTGTAAGCTCGGACAAAGCACAGTGACCAGTAGATAGCTTGGGTTCTTGGGTGGATTGATTTAGCATCAAGATGATCATATGTTTTAACTGTGGTTGTCATGGCGGTAGTGCTCATGGTTATTTTCTTCATAGACTCTGAGCCCCAAAGCACTCTCATCTTTGAACTATGCTCACATTCAGTATCTTATGGAGGAGTATTTAACAGATGCCTCTTGACTGGACTCAGTGAGTTAATAACTTCTTACAATAGGCTCCATAGAGAACTTACATCTGCATGGTGTGACTTCACTTTGTCATTTTGGCTAGGCTCTGGTGCCCATGCAGTAACAGGGACGTTTACTGTAAGGGAATTTGATGATGTGGTGAAGATTCATAAACAATTGACTTCAAATAAAAATTACTACTTGACAGTGGGAGTGATCTTCATCTCATCAAGGTGGAGACTGCAAACACTGAAGATTTATGAGGCAGGAAGAATTCTGCCTCATGGAAGCAATAGAAATCCTAATACTCCAGCCTACTCCATAGGCTTTCATGCTCAAAATAGTGTGTCAGCTCATTCTTTAGTTTCCAGCTTACTGATTTGCCCTTTGAATTTCCGAATTGTTATCTCCAACAGTTGTGTGAATTAATTCTCTAAGATAAATCTATGCATATCAATAGTCCTGTTACAGACTAGACTTCAAAGGTCTGGTAAAAATACTGGGTTAGATATTGGGAACCCACAATATGATGAGAATGCTCAGGGAAGGTTCAAGTGGAGAGTCGCATGCCAGGTGGTAATAGAAGGCAGTCTGTTACTTGTTGACATTTTTATTACAGTTGGACTATTCATACAATGGTGGTGAATGGCGTATATTTAGTTATACAACAAGCCATACTAACCGGCTTTCTCAAAGTGTACGTAATGATGGATTGCCTAATGACACTTTTTTTCAGTCTGAATCCTCATCATTAAGTGACCCATGATGGTATTTCCAGAAATTCTTTAATACACCCCTCTCTGCATTTCAGTGTTGCTAGGCACCAGCTATACTGGTTGTTATTTCCATTCTGTCTCCTTTTGAACAGGACTATTCCAGTGACTGCCTGTGCTTGCTGCATGGGTGCAGTGGGTGTTGGTCATATAGATAGCTTGTCTCCTAAATTGCAGGTCTTCTGACTGTGAAGAGCTGTATCCCACGAGCTATCATGAGCTATAAGGAGCTTTGACCAAAGAACCTTACTTATTTGAGGAGCCACTTTATATGTCAACACTGGGTTTTAAGCTGAGTTTGTACAGTTGTAAAAGGTTAAGACTTCTTGCTTTCTTATTTTTTTTCTTTTGGGAGCATAGTGTATTTTGTATGTAAGAAGAATGCAATTTATAGTCACAAGGAAGACTGCTTATTTATGTAAGTATATTGCTATAAATCCATTGAAAAAGTAGCTCTGAGTCTTTGAATATGAACCACACTTACCAAGTTATAGAGAAATATCTTATATGGAGTAGTAGATACCTAATAAGGGGGAATAGTATGTGTCATTGATATTGATTTTTAGGCAGTTTAGTTTGCCCTTTGGAATGGATGTGTTTTAAATTCTAAACTTAGATGGTCACAGATAGGGTCTGCAGAGGGCTTGGTCAGTGTCTGACTCCTGTTGACTGGCGCAGACACTACTTGAGGGATCAGCAGTGTGGTTAAAGGTGCGTGTAATGTGGGCTTCTAGATGTTTCCTCAGGTGCTTCGTCACTGTCCCTTTGAACTATCTCTATTTCTTTACTTACCTCAAAAGTGTTTAAGCTGATTATTGAAATGTTGATAGAAATAGAATACTGATTAATATCTATACCTGAATGTAAAGTATATTATAGAAAAAAAAAAGCTTTGGAAAAACTTCAGAGACCTCCTCTGTTTGAAGATTGCACATCTGTGAGGATTCCAAACTATTCCATTAAAAAATATTAATAGGATAGGCATGCATAGGAAGAGCTGGAGAGATAAAACAGAAAGGGAAAGTAATGCAATTCTATTTTAATTAAAATGTATTAAAAGATAATAAAATAAAAATTAATGGACAGTTAAATATAAATATAAATATAAATATAAATATAAATATAAATATAAAATAGGGAATGGTGTTTTGATGTACGTGAAATTTATGGAATGGCTAAATAAAGCTAATAATTATTTTTTAATTATATAGTTAAATGTATTAATTGTAAATGTAAGGAGAGTTGAAATCAATTAAATACATTCACACATTTATGACTAATGTCAAAATCTTCAAACACTTTGACAGAGACACTTGAAAATGAAAACAATTGATTACTCTATAAAAGTAATATAATTGTTCCTAGCCAAATCATTAGCAATGAAGCTGCTGCTTAGTAACATTTGTCATTACTATGTTCTTTACAGTAATAAGTAGGTCAAACTAACAAATGCTGTGCTGAGTCTTGACAAGTATTTGTCATTTCAGTCCCCGTTCTCACCACTGACTCTATCTTTTTCATGGAAATATTTAATGATACCATTTTTTTTTTAATCTCTCAGGGAATTGCTCCAAAGCTGGAATTTTCTACAACTTCAGTGATCACGGAATGTCTGATAAGCTCAAGGAAGTGCCGCACTCAGGTTAAAATGATTAACTGCTTCATGTCTAGTTGGTGATGGTGTGTGACAAGCTTTAGCGTTTTGTTTTGCTGCATTTCCTTTCATTTTGCCCTACCCACAATCTTCTGTTTGAGTAGCAGTTAGCAAAGTACTCAGCACCTTGATTGGATCTTAGACATCTGGAAAAGGCTGATCTTAGTCCATTGGCAGTGGGCACATTACTCGATGTTGTAGACTACTTAATACAAGTAATAGTTGAATTTTGTAGAGAAAACTGGTTGGAGACTTGTATTTATTTCACAGACGTTACAGGTGACTGCAGAGAGGACAGATGATAGCATTAAGCAAACGTGGCAGCGTTCTCAGACTGGAGAGCTGATGTATACTGAGTGTGACTTCTGAGTATTTCTAATTCCTTAGAGGACTGTTGCTCAGTGGAGTGTCAGTACTGGTCCTGTCAGATCAAGGCAAGCTTGGATGTTCCAGCCTAAATAACTCCTGCTTGGGATGATTTCCTTTGACAAGCTTCTGCACCTATTATTTCTCATATTCCAATTGTTACCGGACCACGGGACAGTCTTCTGTTGGACAAACGACCATGCCCATAGTCATCCCAGCAGTGCTGGCATCATCCGTGTGCAATTTGGTAAACTGGCTGTGATGAAAGGCCGGGAACACATGAAGCTCAGATGATTCAAATGAAGTAGAACTGGGAGTTGTGGACAGAGTGGAATAGTATTTTGCTGTATTACAGTTTTAAAGCTATTTCTCTGAAGATGAGATTGTGGCCTAAGCTAAGAAAGGTGCAGTGAGTTCCCAGAGTGTTGAAGGAGATGTTATTTTGTTAGCAAGGTATTTAGGATTCCAAAGCCAGTCTGTAGCTATTTATCATTTAGGCACAGATGTTGGAAGTCTGTCCAGCTGTGCTTACCATGTAGGGGAACCTGACTGGCTAGCTTCTGGGATACTTACTGTGCACATTTGTAAATTGTTTAAAATGTTTTACCTGGATTCAGTTTTTCTCTATGAAATGGAGTGTACCTAATGAATGAATAGAAAAAAAAATTTAATTCCTATGTGACAGAGCATTCATGTAGAAAAGTCTTAACATTTCAAGTGTTCGCCTTCTAAATGTAAGGCCCTCCCCTTCAGTTAGTGTCACTGTACTTTATGCACTTAAAAGTAGCATTTTTCTGGTAAAAATACTATTCTTTTTACTTGTTTGGAGTTGTCACTTGATCTTTACTAAACAAAGATGTAAGAAAGTAGGTTTTGATATTAGACAGTGTTTAAAACTACGCTTTAGGTCTATACATATACCTTGATATAATTCATAGGGCACTTGTCCTACCATGCATGAAGTCCAGGGTTCAATTCCCTGTCAAGGCCATGAGCAGAGCTGGGGAAAGAGATGACAGAAGAGGACAGGGGAGCAAAGTGGGGAAGAGAGAAAAAAGTGAGGAGGGAAAGATGAAAGAAGGGTGGAAAGGGGATGGAAAGAAGGAGGAAAGTACTATTTCCAAATGTATGTTTTGTGTTTGTCAGCAATTTAATGGATTAAAAAATTATATATATTGATGTGAGTTTCTAGGAGAAAAATAATTTTCTCTTCTAATTTGTTGACCTATTTCAAAGTAGACTTTATGGTTACATAGTTAGATCTTGGCAGTCTCTTTAGGATATTGTTAAGCTCTGTTAAGATACAGTATCCCTTAGGTTTCTTGTATAACAATCCTTACTAACTTACTGGTTTAAAGCAGCAAAAGCTTCTCATTTCTGGGGCAACAGGATGATTCCTTCAGTGTAGACTGGCTGGCCACACCTGAATGATCCATCTCAAACCTGGCATTTGGCAGAAGTTGTATTTGGGGTGGGAATGTTCACTTTTTTCATTGACCTCAGCTGGTGTGATAGTCATAAGACTCATCACCCAGCAAGCTAAATCATGGCTTCTTCATCTGCTGCAGGGAGAATCTCAGAAGAGTGATAGCCTTTTAGAAAACTTGGCCTTATGACATAGTGACCTCTTGGTCAAAGAAATTACATAGTCAAATTAAGCATGGGCTCTGGGGGGAGAAAATTCCATGGGTGCAGATGTAGGAAAGGAAATTGTGGAAGTCATTATGGAAGAGTGTAGTGTCTTGAGCTTTTGTAGGAAAAGCTAGAGGCATTAGGGAATGCCATGTTTGGACACCATACATTTGTAATACATGACTTGAAGTCTGTAACTTCATTAATGGACATGAGTCAAACAATTTACTGAAGAAAGGGGAGGTAGAGTTGGTATCTTAAGATTTGGTATAATCAGAGGTGGGTAGGTAAAGAGCAACTGAAGCATCACTTTAGGAATTTAGTTGTGTCTAAACCAAAAATATGTAAGGAACAAAGAGATAGAAGTCCGGGGACTGATGTGACAAATGGGGTTAACAATAGACACAGAGTAGAAGAAAGAGGTTGAGTAAAAGGGATTTACACACTGTAGATACAGTGGATTTGTAGAGGAAAGATTCAAGACATGTTTGACAGGGATAATTAAAGATGAGCCAAATCCCAGGTGTTGGAGTCACTGCTTAAATGTTTTAGGGAGCCTCAAAGTTCTAGAATAACTTACTTATGAGAGTCATTGTGATGTCATAGAGGTGGATGAAGGTATAAAAGAGCTCTGCCATACCCTCTGGGGTCATTGGACACCGCGGGTGAAGATCCTGGAGCATACCACCACCACAGAAGAAAGAAAATGGCCTGATGTACTGGCCTGTATAGAACATGAGAGATATTCTCATTTCTTCTTTTATATCTTGGGCTTGGGAAAGATGGCTGTTATTTTGATTCATATTTATATTTTAATTACTTAGTCCTCGCACATAAGGAAGAGAGTTGAGAAAATGGAGAAGAAATTTGGATTAGTTTTTCAAGGGATTGAAGTCAGAAAGAAAAGATCTTTAGCTTATTTTAACTAAAAATCATATGACACTAGAAGAAATATATTATTTATTTACAATCTAACTATTAAGGCATTTGTAAGGCAGAGTGTAGAAGAATGAAGGATTACCTGAGTAGCAGCAAAGTTGGAGCTATTAGATTTGTTGTCATTTTTATCATATTTTCATGTGGGCAAGGCTTCACTTCCTTTGCCCAGCCTGACTTAACACTCTGGGGATCTGGAAGCCTTCTTGACTCAGCACCCATGTGGCTAGATATGTAGCCAGATGTGTCTGAGTCTTTTTTTACCTTAAAAATCTCACACTGATACCAGATTTATATTAAGATGGAAGTATTAGTTATTAAAGTTTATAATCTTTTTATATGTATTTAGTTTTATAAACAATATAAGTCAAGAGATAAAATAGTATTTTTATCTGTCAAGTTAAAGATGAAATAGTATTTTTATCTGTCAAGATCCAAGATGACTTGGATCTTACACTCCTATATAGTGTTTGTAATTCGAGTAAAACACTTCAGTAAAATATAAAGTGCTAGAGATTCTTGTGTTGTACTTATGTTATACATGATTACAAGAGAATGAATAAGACATTTTTAGTAGTTTTCTTCTAATGATTTTACACCCAGCTAGATAAGTGTATTTAGACAAGGGTCCTCTGTTGCCCAGGGGCATACTGCCTTAGCATCCTAGCCAGGTCAGGCCTGAGTAACCACACCATACTCGGCAGGGGCTTTTAAAAATTAAATGTAGTTCTTTTAAACTTAATAGCCCATCACTCGACTATGTAAATGTAATCAATGTTGTTTACACATTATTTTTTTAATTTACTGAAAAATAAGTTTTTGACTTTTTTGAAAATAAGTTTATTTCTTGGAATTTTGCAAGTGATTAAGCATTAGCCTTTAATATTCATTAAGCCCATGATTAGACTTAAGAAGGACGTTTGATACAGTCAACTTTATTAACTAGGAGAATATGTATTTGCTTTCTCCTGGGTCAGCACAGATGATGATAGATCCAGTTGGTTTTGATGACTTTGTGTACCTTGAGTTACTCTTAAACTTTTTTCCCCCTAACTGTAGAGTTTCAAAAAGTACCTTCTACCCACATGAATGTCTATTTTTTTATGCTTAGGATAAATTTACTTACCATTCAGCTCCAGCTGAAAAATCCCACGGCAAACTGCAATGCAGAACATCAAGATCACAGAAGAAAAAGTCCAAGTCACCCGAGAGAAGTAAATACTGCATGAACACCAAGAACTACGAACAGCCTACAATTTCTTCAAAGTCTCATTCTCCATCGCCCTACACCAAGAGACGAATGTGTGAGCTCTCTGAAGACACCAGGAGGCGGCTGGCCCATTTAAACCTGGGACCCTATGAATTCAAAAAGGAAACAGATAAGCCTCCATTTGTGATTAGACATGTATGTGCTCATAAGCATTTCCATTTGAAACTTATCAAATCTACTCTGCCACTGAAATATTATGCTGAAGCAGATTTCAATAAGCAGCTCATATAAATAATTTCTTTTCTTGAAAACTTAGCCAGCAGCTAAAGGTAGAAAACTAACTTAACTAAAGAATATGCTTTTTAGACTGATGCTCCAACCAAGGACCACGCATGGAGAAGGCCTAGCCCCCATGCTCATATGTAGACCATAGGTAGCTCAGACTCCATGTGGGTTCTATAGTAAGGAGCTCAGGGGCTGTCTCTGACATGTACACAGTGGCAGGCTCTCTGATCACCTCCCCCTGATAGTGCAGCCTTGTCTGCCCACAGCAGAAGACCTGCTGAGCCAGTCCTGATGAGACCTGATAGGCTAGGGTCAGATAGAAGGTCCTTTCCTATCAATAGACTAGGGGAGAGGTGTGGGGGGAAAAGGGGGAAGAGTAGGAATGGGAGGATACGAGGGAGGGGGCTACAGCCAGGATACAAAGTGATTAGATTATAATAAACAACAACAAAAAAGAGAAGTAGAAAAAAAAAGAATATGCTTTTTGTTCCCCCTTTACGCCTTTAATGCTGACAGATGAAGCTGTTATGAATGCCTTATGGACTCTTTAAGTACTCATTCCCTCTCACTTCACACAGGGGGCAGTGTTATAACTCCACAATTGAACCTGGTTGTAACTGACGTTGATACTAAAATGCTAAAGTAGAATTTTAAAAGAGAAAGCAGAGTTTCCTATAAAAAGGAACCCATCCAGTCTTTTAAAGAATGATAGTGGAAATGGATGTCCTTTGAGAACAAGTCCTTTGGGAAGGCTTTGGATCCTGAATCTTTGAAGTTAGCTCTTGTTTGATGTGCATGCGTAGGACGGTCTTTCGAATTATGGATGGATTAGTTCTAATCCTTCTGCATAGCCTTATGTTATTATGGAAGTTAGAGCTTTGTGTACATGATAGACTTTGATTAAACCGGAGTGCCTGCAGTCAGAACACTCAGTCACAGGCTGTCTCAGTTTCTTGAAGTTTTGTAAAGTTCTTTTACCTTAAAAGCAACTCTACTGAAACTCTCCCTTAGTAACAGAAATGTATATTTGCATATACACTAATAATAAGCGTCTAGGCTAAAATGCTTGTAGAAGCAAGCATTTACTATTCTTTTTTTTTTTTATTTTTTTACATTTTATTTCTTTTTAGTTACATTTTGTTAACTCTGTGTCCCAGCTGTATCCCACTCCCTCATTCCCTCCCCAACCCCGCACTCCCTCCCTGGTCTCCTCCCTGCCCCTTTCCAAGTCTACTGATAGGGGAGGACCTCCTCCCCTTTCATTTGACCCTGTTTTATCAGGTACCTTCAGGGATGGCTGCAAAGTCCTCCTCTGTAGCCTAACAGACTGCTCCTCCCCTGGGGGGGGGGGTGTCAAACAGCCTGCCCTTGAGATCCTGTTAGAAATAGTCTGTGTTCCCCTTACTTTGGAAAACTACTTGGTTACTGAGCTACCACGGGCCACATCCGAGCCGAAGTTCTAGGTTATATCTGTGGCCCATAGATTTACTATTCTTAAATTCTAAAATACTCATGTTTTTTAGAACTTTTATTTGGAATACATTCATTTGGAAGTCAAATAACTTTTGAATGTGGCCGTGTACTTTATCTGAAAGTTCTTGAGTTTTCTGTGACACTATTTAAGAACAATTTAAATTATGCAATATTTCGTACCATCTTTGTTTTGCCTATGAGTGAATTATAACATACATATGTATAAGATACATACACTTTAATTTTATTAAAAAATTTACAGTCACCAGTTTTTAATTTAAAAAATATTAGTTTAAAAGAATGAAGAATTCACTCATATGTATCTTATACATATGTATGTTATAATATGGTAACATCTGTTAATAATCATATATATATATATATATAAATTTATTTTATGTGCATTGGTGTTTCTCTGTATGAGGATGTTCCGTCCTCTTGAGCTGGAGTAACAGACAGTTGTGAGCTGCCATGTGGGCACTGGGAATTGAACCTGGGTCTTGTGAAAAAGTAGCTAGTGCTCGTAATTTGTCAGCCACTTCTCCAGTCCTAAAGCTATTCTTGTTTCTCTAATTTGATCACAAGTTTGGTCCAGTAGAACATTATTTAGACATTAGTTTGCTTGTGTGCCTGATGGAAATTTGAGAATGCTCTTAACTTTAATACCATCCAGAATTACAAATTAAATGGAAAAGAAAGGATATACTATTTCCTAATTTGAAGGAATAATCAATTTCGTCTTAACTAAAATGCTTGTATATGAAAGTTCAGAAGGATTATGGGAGGTAGACACAGAAATGTTGGGGGAACAACTGCTCTTGAAGTGTTTATTAATACTTTTAGTGGCAGTGTTAGAAAAAGTATACTTTATAAGTGTTTTTATTTTCCTAAGTTACATTTTTTCGTAACAGTAATTTTTTTAACTTTTATTTGTTACACTTTATTCACTTTGTGTCCCCCCATAAACCCCTCCCTCCTCCCTTCCTAGTCCCACCTTCCCTCCCCCTTCTTCACGCATGCCAAATCCACTGATAGGGATTTGGTCCCTATCAGTGATAGGGGAGGTCTCCCTCTCCTTCCTTCTGATCTTATTCTATCAGATCTCATCAGGAGTGGCTGCACTGTCATCTTCTGTAGCCTGGTAAGGCTGCTCCCCCTCAGGGAAAATTTTGTGTGTTTCATATATAAATACTGTAGTTATATTACAGTATATTACTTACCTCACCTCCCCTTTCCAGATTCTTTGCTTCTCCCAAATCCATAACTTCTTCCATAATTATTATATATATATGTATATATATGAATGCTGTCATACTTTTTTATTTACATTTCTTATATCTTGCTCTTCCTACTCCACCCCAATCCCTTCCAACACCCCAACACCAGGTAGTAGAGAAAAAGGATTAGTGGGCGCAGTTCTCTTAGCTGCTTCCTGCTGGTTAGGGTCCTCAGGTTCTTTGGAGCCAGCCCAATTCTCTTTTCGGAGATCTCCAACTTATCTTACCATAGCAACCAGGAGCATCAAGGGGAAGCAGGTGCAGCCTTGTTTTTTCTCAGAGGTCCTCTACACTTTTTGGACTCTGGCACTTATTCTTGCTCCAGAGTCTTTAGATTTAAACTACCTGAAGCTGGCAAAGAGCTCCTCTCAGAGCGTGAACAGGACAAATAGTTTGTCGTTGTGGACTAGCTGGGTCAGTCCCACATCCCACACCTGGGATTAAAGCAACAACCTATGTATGCATATCTGACACCCATATATACTATGTATATTTGTATACACTTGGGAATATAACCTGTCAAAAGGCTTTTCTATGGAGAAAACCAATTCTCTTTCTCCTGATTGTAGCTCTGTGAAATTATCCCCATTCATGTTGATGTGTTAACTACAGTATTATCCAGATCTCGTTTTGGTAACCATGCTGTTGAGATATCAAGGGCTTGTTATGGTAGTATACATATTTATTCCCAGTACTTGACAGGCAAGAGCAAGTGGATCTCTGTGAGTACAAAGCCAGTTTAGTCTAACATTGCATGTTCTAAGACAGCCAGGGATACATAGGAAAACCCTTCTCAGAAAACAAGCAAATAAAAGCAATCAAAAACTTATGATTTAAGAGATTTTTCTCATCAGCTTTTCTGTAAACAGAAATAAGTATACATGTAGAAAATTGGGTTTAGAGTGAATTCGTGGTTTCAGAAGTACTTGGAAAATTGGTAGCAAAAGATGTTTAATTTTATGCACACATATATAAAACCTTAATAAAATGAACAGTACCTGGCTAAAAGACAATTATAAACAAGAAGTGACTTTCAGAATCAGTTAACAAGCTTGAAATACATTGTTGCAATTGTCCTACGTGAGTCAAACAGCCATCTTTTCACTTATGACTTGTAGAATCTTTTTCTTTTGTGATTTTACACACACACACACACACACACACACACACACACACACACACTTACCATTCTGTTTTAAAGTGTACAATTCAGTAGTACCATGGGGATTAGCATGTTGTACCTTAAGACCTTCCCCATCTGGTAGCATGTGCCCATGCAGTGCTACCGTTCTACGCGCCCACACGCCCATGCCCCACTCTCACAGCCCCTCGTCTCTTCTCTGTCAGGTTGCCTGTTGTGCCTTTTCATCTAACCAGTCGTAAGACTGACCTTAGCACAAGTCACTGATGTTGCAGGTGTTTGCGCTTGGTTTCTGCTTATTACTGGATAATATTACATCGTATAGATAGACGTCTCCTTTGCTTACATGTCTATTGATAGATGTTTGTGTTGCTTACACTCTTGGCTACTATAAACAATTCTTTAATGAGCAACCTTTGTACAAGGATTTGAATAAACACATTTTTCAATGTTTTGGGGTAAAGACCCAGGAACAGACCTGCTTCATCATGTGGCAACTGTATATTTAACCTGAAGACTTGCGAAAGTGTTCCTCAGAGTGACTGCACATTTTACATTCCCATCAGCTGTGTAAGAGGGTTGTAGTTTCCTTACGTTCTCACTGCACCTCCGCTTTTCTGTTTTGATGTTGTTTTGTTTTTTCTTTCGTTTTTCTGTGGTGGTGTGGTAGGTTTAGAACTAGGGCCTATTGGAAACAGGCAGGCGTTAGCCCAGGTCTGCTTAATTTTCTCTACAGTCCTCTTGGTGAGTGTGAGTGGCATCTCTTTGTGGTTTGATGAGCATTTCTCTACTGAATAATGATGCTAATCGTCTTTTCCTGTGTTGGTGAATATCCTTTAAAATGTCTACTCAAGTCTTTTTGTCACGTTAGAATCTTCCTTCACTGCTACTGTTGACTTGTAGGAATTCTGTGACATATTTGTTTATAGCTAGAAAATATAGTTAACCTTTGTCAACTACAAAGTGCTCAGCAAAGCAAAGACACTGAATTCCATGTGTTTGCTAAAACAGGTAGAAAGTTGGTAAACTTTATAAATAAGGCAGAGGAGATCATTCTAGGACGTTTTTATATTTCTTTTCTGTAACTTTTTAGTAAAAAAGAAACAACAGGGGCAGTACGTACTTGACCACAAATTTATTCTTTTTAAAATTTTTACTTTTATTAATTACACTTTATTCACTGTGTACCCCTCCACAAATCCCTCCCTCTTCCCCTCCCAGTCCCACACTCCCTCCCCCTTCTCCACATATGCCCCTCCCCATGTCCACTGATAGGGGAGGTCCTCCTCTCCTTCCTTCTGATCCTAGTCTATCAGGTCTCATCAGGAGTGGCTCCATTGTCTTCCTCTGTGGCCTGGTAAGGCTGCTTCCCCCTCAGGGGGAGATGATCAACGAGCAAGCTAATCAGTTCAAGTCAGAGACAATCCCTGTTCCCATTACTATGGAACCCACTTGGATACTGAACTGTCATGGGCTATGTCTGTGCAGGGGTTCTAGGTTATCTCCATCAATGAGTCCCCATTCAGAAAGGCAGAGAGGATGGACATCAAAAGGAGAAAACAGAGAACAAAACAAGAGCCTTCCACAGAGGGCCTCTGAAAGGCTCTTCCCTGTAGGGTATCAAAGCAGACGCTGAGACTTATGGCCAACCTTTGGGCAGAGTGCAGGGAATCTTATGAAAAAAAGTGGGAAATAGTAAGTCCTGGAGAGGACAGGAGCTTTACAAGAAGAGCAACAAAACCAAAAAATCTGGGCACAGGGGTCTTTTCTGAAATTTGTTCTTTTTTTTTTTTTTTTTTTTTTTTTTGGTGGTGTTTAATTTCAACTTTGTTGAAAATGCACTGTAAGTAAGTGATTCAGCACTGACTTTGGAACACAGAGGCACTGTAGGATTCACCTGCTGTGTGGCATATGCTCTGGTTGTTCAGCAGTGCTGTAAGACTGAGAATGGGAAGGGACCATTAAAGTGTCCTCTCACATTGCAATCCTTTTTCCTCTAGGTTGATCCCCCAAGTCCCAGGGCTGATAATTTGTTTGGATCACCCAGCAGAGACTGTGAACGAGATGTCTGGGCCAGGATGCACAGTGGTAAGGGGAAGCGGTTTTCTCCCAATCTAGTTGCTTAAGCTGTCAAGCCTTACCTAACACTGATTAATGAAAGCACACCTTTGCTGCATTATAATATATATTATATATAATACATATTCAATAATATATATGTTCTTGAATACCTAGCTCTGCCCCTTACTTAGAAACATACACCATTCCTGAGAAGTTATTTTAATCCCTTCAATAACTAGTTTATCAGTAAGGATTAGCGATAACATGGGAAATGTTACCATAAAAAGTATGTGAGTACATATGCTCAGTAAATATCAGCTAAAATAGAATTTCTGAAGTGATGAATTCTTTAGGTTTAATTTATAAGAATGTGTATTAATTGTTAGCCCTAGTCTCTTTGGCAAGGTAAGCTTCCTAAGTTCGGTATAAGTTTTTTTGTTTTTCTTTGTGAAGAAGCTTAAATGACATGGTATAGTGAAGCATATTTGAATACGGACGTCATTAGACAGCGGCTAGCAGCTCAGCAAGTATTTACTGGCAATCTTTAACGTTAATCTACTACACACTGAGAATGTCAAAGTGGAAGAGAGTTATGTAAGAGGAAGAAAAATTGAATTGGAATGTGTAGAAAGCTTGGATGTCTATTTCTGGCTATAGCGTACACCTTCAAAATGAGAAAATGCAATGCTCTTTTACAGAACATGTTTTGTTTTTGTTTAAGCACTGACAAAGAAAATGGATTTTGCTTTAACGTGAATGTTTACAGTCAGAACATTTGGTGAAAGACTGTTTCAGCATATTCATAGTTTCTTGAATTTTCTTTCTTTCTTTCTCTCTCTCTCTCTCTCTTTCATTTTTTTTCTCTCCCTCTCTTTTCCTTCCTTTCTTTCTTACTGTTTTTTTTTTTTTTTCATATAGGGTCTCTCTAAATAGCTCTGGCTGTCCTGGAACTCCTTCCGTATACCAGGCTGGCCTCAAACTCAGAGTTTCTTCTGCCTCTGTCTCCCAAGTACTAGGATTAAAAGAGTATGCCACCATGCTCAGCTTGAATTTTTATAAAGTATTTTTACTTATATACAGAATAAAGGATTATGTGAAAATTAAATATAAATGTTGCATTCTGTTTCCCTATGTGATATAGAAAATGAGCTGTGTGAATGAGGCAAAAGGAAGTAATTTCCAGGGAGATGTGTTGGGAAGATCTATTTGAAATCCTTTATGCCTGATCTCTTGATATTGGTCAGCAAAATGGTTATTGTTCCCAATGAATCATCTGAAGTTGTCAGCTGCCTCTGTAGAAGTACATTGAGGATGTCAAGAGGAATTTGTGGGTTTTTTTTTTCCCCTTTTAGATTTTTGTATGTTGTCTTTTCATACACAGGTAGAAATAGTAGAAAATTTCTGTATACTTCTTGTTCAGGACCCACAGGTAGCCTTTGTTTTCATCCTCTCCTATAGTTTTCTTTCTCCTCTACTTTCCCCCATTCCCACATAAATTGTCTCACCAAGAACATTACTATAGACTGAACTATAGTCCCTAAAAATTTGTATCTTGTCTGGTGCATGCATGTAGCCCAAGCACTTGAGAGGCAGATGTAGAAGTATCAGGGGTCCAAGTCCAGCCTTGCTACAAAGCAAATTTAAGGTCATCTTGGGTTCCATGAAACTTTGCCTCAACAAACAAAAACAGACAAACCACCAAATTAACAATACACAATTTGTGTGTTGAAGTCCAAACCTCACTGTGATGGCGGTTAGCAGTGATGCTTTTGGCAGCTAGGTTTAGTAGAGACTGTGAGTGGGTCCTTGTGATAGGATTGCATCTTTCTCCCTGCCACACGAGGACTCAGCCAGAAGGTTAGCATCTGCAGCCAGAGGGAACACTGCCACCGGAACTTGGTCTCCTGAACTCTAAGGAACAAATTGCTGTTGTTTCAGCCACTCAGCATATAGTACTTTGTTATGGAGGCTTTAGTAGACAGATGCAGAGATCATCTTCTGTCTTATAAGCCATTTATTCTTTTGAAGCCTCTGTCATTTTTCTCAACAAAATGTAGTTAATTCCATCTTTATAGAATTATTGGGAGGATGAACTGTGTCAATGTTGGCTTAGAAAAAGCATCCTGCAAAGTTGTCTAGCCACAGGTTCTTGGTGTCACTGACGGTGCCAGATATGGGTTCCACATCGTGGAACGGCTTTAAAGCCGATTAAAATGTGCTTGGTTATCAGACAGCATTCAGGCCGCTGTTACACAAGTGGGCATAGTCTTATCAGGGGGATCATTATTGTGGACTCCAGTGTTCACAGCTAGGAGACATTAATAATGTGGAGGACTGTTTTACGAGAGTCAGTCTAGATAAGATTGCAATCTTTTACTAACTTTGAAGTTTGCTTGATGTCTAGTGTGTTTACGAACAACAAATTAGAAATAACATTATAAATCCTAAAATTCCATATCAAGTTAACCGCAACACATGAGAACATTTCTCAATCAAATAGCATGTATGCATCAAATACTTTACTTATTAGCAAAATGTCTTATTTTAAATGTCTTAGATTTCATTTAAATACATTCCTCTCTTGCTTTCTCATAGAGCTGAGAAGTCATTTCTAAGAGTCTTTATTTGGTTCCTTTTTTAAATTCAACATCTTCACTTTTTGTGATTACATTTTATATACCATAAGATTTATGTTTTAGTACACATATATTAATATAGTTTACATGGATGAAATTGCCACTATAATCTATAAAGCATCGCCATTGTGCCAAAAGCTTCCTTATCCTCTTTGTACCACCCACATTCTCACCTTCAGCTTCTATAGGGTTCACACCATTTGGCTGTTACTAGTAAGGCTGCTATGGGGATGTGCTTTGAACTGTTCATGCAGACAGATGCTTCTACTTCTCTTGTATGTGTAGGAATGGAATTCCTGATTCATGTGGTGAACTATGACATTGTATGTTTTCCAAAGTGCCTACACTATTTTATAGTCTTACCATTAGAGTTATGGCACTGCCAGTTTGAGCACATCTTCAGCACTTGCTATTATCTTTTTTTTGTGTGTGTGTGATTTTCAGTATATAGTCCAGTGCTAAAAATGAAAATGATAAAAAATATATAGTTAGCCTTCGGTATATACAAGCACTGAATTAATGGGTTTAACAAACCACATATCCAGAATATTTGGCAGGGAAGAAATTTGACTGTGCTAAATATGTACAGACCTATAACAATAAAGTTAAAGACCATAACAGTAAAGTTATGATTTCTGAAACAATATGGGATCCATTCACATAGCATCTGAATTGTATGTATATTAGAGATAAATAGTCTTGAGGATGTGGGAAGTAGTCCATTCTTACATGCCATTTTATGTAAGAAATTCAAGAATCCATGAAATCTGGTGGTGCTGGGAGTCTTGGAACTTCTCTGCTGGGTACTGAAGGATGCCTGTATTGGAGTGAGAAGAAGCAGTTTCAGGTGAACAAAACACAGATGAGCAAGAAATGTGAAATGCTGTTAATGTGCCTTTCCTCTTTAGCATGGAGAGATATTGAGAGTTGAACTGGTGAGCTGAGTCTTCCCCTGAGCCCCTGGTATATGGAGAAAGAACATAGCTCCTTCTCAAAACTAGGAACATGCTTGGCAGACCCAGAAAAAGCCCGGGGCCAGGGCCTTAGGAGCTTTTCTCCAAGGACTTGCTATGTAGAGAAGGAACACATCTCCTCTAAAAACATAAATATGCTTGGCAGAGTTAGTAATGGCCTGGGGCCAGGGCCTTGGGAGAGCTGTGGCTTCAGATTCTGAGAACCCAACTCTTCCAACCTTAGGGGGCCATGGTTATCAGCCCAAAGCCCACTGTGTGCTCAGTCTATAATGTTTTTGAGATAGTCTGTGTCCTTCCTATGCACCATTGTTTGATTAGCTTCTCTCTTACTTAGTCCCATTGTATGAGAGTTTCTACTAACTCTGGCCCCCTGCCTCCGTATTCCTCCTGGAAATGGTGCTATACTTCTTAATAAGCTTCCTTGGTATAAGACATAGTGTGTTCAAAAAAGAGCTCTTGATACCAAACTTTATATTTCTCCTTATTTTTTTATCTTCTGGTCCTCTCTCTTAGGACCCTATCACTGAAGAATGAATGTCTGGTTGGTCTAGGTCAGAAAGAAACTGACCTCTAGTTTTATTTATTTTATTCACTTTATGTCCTTGTATCCCCTTCCCTCTTTCCCTCCCAGTGTCTCCCTTTTTTCTTTCCCCCTCCCCCTTCCCTTTTCCTCAGGAAAGGGGAGCTCCCTTTCCCCATCCACCCCAGATCATCAGGTTGCCTCAAGACTGAGCATGTCCTCTTCCCCTGTGGCCTGTCAAGGCAGTCTGGCAGGGGGGAGTGCTAAAAAAAAAAAATAAAAAAATAAAAAAAAAGCTAGCAAGTGAGTCACTGTATGATGCAGCCCCCACTTCCTTTACTAGGGGACCCACATGAAGCCTAAGCTACCCATGTGCTATATCTTTGTATGGGGCCTAGGTTCTGTCTTCAAGCTTAGCAGAGTATCCTTTGTAGTGTCAGGGGTTGGCACTCTCCGATAGGGGGGGTCTTCAGTTGGGTCAGGCATCATTTAGGCATTCCCTCAATCTCTGCTCTATCTGCCTGCCCTATTGTTATCTCTAGACATCTTGTAGGCAGGGTAAATTTTGGGTCTAAGTTTTTATGGATGGTTGGTGTTCCCAGCCTTTTACTGGAAGACTAGTATGGTTAGAGATGTCCTCTCCAGCTCTCTTCCTTTCTCTTCTGGTACCCTTCTCTCTCTCTCTCTCTCTCTCATAATCCTTCTGTCCCCAAAGCTTGCAAACCTTAGCCACACCTACCCCATTCACCCTGCCTACCTGTGTAGGCTTTTTATTGACCAAACAAGAATAATTTCTTAGGCAAGTTTACAAGTATCACTTTGAGGTACATGGATGTCTGCTTGACTGGGTAGCAACCAGATCTTGGGGTCAGTCATTAGCATCAGAATATATAGCAACAAACCAGCCTCCAGCAAGAAAAGGAAAAGACAGCAAGAAAGGGAGTCAATCAGACAAACTCTCTGATGTCTCATCTCCAGGAACGCTGATCATGTCTTAAGGCCCATTGTTACATCATCTAAATGCAGCCACCTCACAGAAAACTATTACGTGGGGAGTAAGGACTTCATCATAGCAATCTTACAGGAGGGAATACAGAGATTTAGTTTGTAACATGTCTCATGCCGTTGTAGGATAAGAAACAATAGCTAACATTTTAAACTACTTTCTGCTAATAGCTATTCTGAGTACTTAGATTTCATTGTCTAATTATCGCAGAAACTTCATGAAAGTTTACAGACTTTTTGTTTCCATTTTATGGATAAAGAAACCTGAAGTTTGAAATTGTTCAGGATCACACACACTATCTGGGCTAGCTCTTTTCTATTTCTTAAAACTGCCTCTAAATAAAATCTCACTTATTATGCCCTGTTCAAATTTCTTCAGGTTTACAAAGCTTTTTGATTGTTTTCAATCTTGAGGGATTACCCTTTGATATGTTTTATATCACTAATTGCCTGTACCTTTTTTATGTCTAGCTTGCTCTCTTATGCATTGTACAATATAACTAAAATAGATTCTGAGTTCTTCATGACCATAGGCTATGACTTTTATCTTCTTTGTCTCTTGCATTTAGAGCTTAGTTGGTTCCTAATTGTTGCTGAGAATGATTAAATGTGAATATTGGGAACCTGAAATATCGGAGTAAAAGCTTAATTGGTAAAAAGTGAAAGAAATTTGTAAGGCTGTCAAATCATGCTTAATTTATCAACAGTTTGTGAAAAGCAGAAGACATACCAGTGTGTTAATATATGGTATATATTAGTTGCCAGAGAATTATCTCAGCCTTTAAAACTAGCCTGCCTCTGTGTGTGTATGTGTGTATTAGACCACGTCCTTGTCAGTTTTTTTTTTTCTTCTCCTGCTTCTGCTCATGTGTATCTTTGCTTGCAGAGAGGTTAGACTTTTTTATTAGGAAGAGTAGTTGAAATAATTTGATTCCTACTGATAATTGAGACAATAACCTTCTGTGAAAGACATTACTGTTTTGACTGGCATCTAGCATGGTTCAAGACACCAAGGAAGCAAACATCTTGTGCCATGAAAGAAAGACAGAGAATTTATTTCATATAAATCATCTTGTGTCTTGATCCCTATAGATATTTTTTTCCTGGATAAAGTTGAGAATAGAATATAGAGACTAGAATATGTAAGGCAGAATAAGAAATTAGGATTCTGACTTGCTTACTGAAAATCTGACATTATAATACTTGAGGCTTGAATCTTCAATTTGTGAGTGCTTTAAGTAATAGACCATTGAATATACATGCATACTGATAATGATACCATTATTTGCATATTGATAATGATGTAATTATTTGAGGAGAGATTTAAGATTCAATTTCAAAGCTGCTATGTGGTAGCTACTATACTGTCTTCTCTCACAGGTTTTATAAATCAGGACTTTGATTTTTGACAAACGTAAGCATTGTTTTCCTTCTCTGGAAACAAGGACTGAAACAGAGGTGGAGCATGTAACTTGACTGGAAAAATATACGAAAGTGGCAGAATTAGAAATTGATCCCAGGCTTGCTTCAATTAGAATCTTGCATTTTGTTTCCCACTTGTAAGATAGTATTAACTGTATGGTAATTGGCTAGAATCCCTGAGTTGTCAATTGTACATATCTATAGTTTGTAAAGAGAACAAAACAACTCAGACAGATTCCGACGCTCCTTGTTTGGCGTGAGGGAAAGATGCATTTTGGAGGAGGCTGTAGCTCAGGGCGTGCACCATGAGGCTGAACATGTTGATATGCGGTGGGCATCCATTTAGCTTCAGGTTGTCCTGTTTTTGTATATAGTGTCACAACAGTCTGCTGGCGTTCTTGGTTGTGGAAAAGGGGGGAGGGGTCAGCCGGCATGAGAAGTGTTTGGATTTTTTCCTCTAGTTAAGTGTGGTAGATTTTAAACTGTTTTAAACAAACCATAGAATTCAGTGTTGTCACCAAAGCAGAGAACTACCACTTCAATTAAAGTTCAAGAACCTTCTGTACTTAAATGCAGTTTGCAGCATTCTGTAATTTTCTGTATGTTTAGGATGCTGAAATGTTTTTGAAGTTAAATAAACAGTATTACATTTAAAAATAATTTGATGTTGGAATTAGTTATCTTTTTGTCTTTAATTGTACTTTAACCATTAGCAATTGCAGTAATATGTAACTTTCAAGCAATGTTATAAAAGATGGCCATCAGACAAATTCGGAATATTGACCTGAAAGTTTAAGGAGAATGATTGGGGCCATAGCATCACTGTTAGAGTCTGAAGTATTCAGTGATAGCTGTTCCTGACCAGAGTTGGCGTGTTTCCTACACCCTGCCAAAGATACGAAGAACATGTTATGATAAACTGGCTTAGTGAAATCACCCATGTGTTCCAGACTCAGTAAGTTTACTGAAATGAATTGTTCTTATGTCTCTGCATACTGACAGTCCCTGTTCTAATGCAAATAGCGTTTGTGAAACCATAGAGCTGTTGGATCACTGGCAAATAGCACTGTAACACAGCAGAAGGATTGTTAAAGTGTTTGAAATCTGCTGTCTGACTTGGGATTGAGGAGCGTTGAGGATACTAAAAATCAGAAGTGAGGTTACTTCCTTGCCTTTGTGATGTTGCACATTGATCCCCTGTTCTCTATGTCCTTTTCCAGATCATCATCACCTTGGGTGCTGCAGATCCAAGGATTACAAGGTATGTTCAGCCAATTACAGTATGAAAACTTCCCTGGTTCTCAGACAGCAGAAGCATATTTCTGCTATACAAATTCTGACAAGTTATCATCTTCATTTGGTAAAATGATGTGAAAATAATTGTCACAACATGGAATTTCATGGTTTTGGTAGCTGTGCCAAGGAGTGTAATAGGCCTTTACTGAATGTCTTCCTATAGATGTGCTGTGGGTTTCATTATCCTGTTGGAATAATTGTTGAATTTAAATGTGTGTGTTTGCGTGTGTGTGTGTGTGGTGGGGAGGAACACACACACACACACACGTGTGCACAAGAGCATTGATTTGTGCAATATGAGAATGTATTTAATGCATAGAAATATAATATGTGTATACACATACACACATGCATTTGTGTAATATGAGTGTGTTTAATGCATACATGTGATAAATATGTATTTCTGTACACACACATATGTGTATATATATATATATACATATACATGTATCTGTCTACATATACAAATATGGACACACAAGTGAGATAGCATCATGTCTAATATCCTACACGGAATAGGGAAGCTTCCTTAGTAAGTGTAAAGACAGACTTTCTTTGTTCATTTCCTTAATTTAATGATCCATAGTTTATAGTTATATATTTATTTTAATCTTTATTTAGTCTTTTCCTTTTACTAATCAATGAGCATTAGGCTATCAAGTGTTTCATTGATTTTGCTTCTTAATGCTATTACCTAGTATACTGATTGTAATATGATATGTATAACATATAATATACACATTGTGTGAGTAGATTGTTAAAACAAGTAAATAAGTGAAGAACAGGCTAAAATTTGCAGCTGTTCAAGTTAACTAGTTCGTCTAAAGCTAGATATGAATACACTCTTCCCAGTGTGCTCTACTAAGAACTAACTGCACCGTAAAGCATCTATAATCTCCTGCTTTCCTCTAGATTCATTACTTTTAGAGCTTTCCTTTGAGATGGTGAGTGGTGAGTAAAGTCACAGATTATCTCTGAATCCAGGATGGAGATTTTCAAGCATCTACCGCATTGCCTATGGAAAGAATAAAAGACTATGTTTCATGGGCAAATAGTAGTTGGTTGATGAGTACTCAGGTAGTAGAAAAATAATTTTAACAAGAAAAAAAACAAACTCTGAAACTTGGAGTGTTCCAGACAGTTTATAGAAAAGGGCACTTTTCTGAGGCCCCTGGAAATGTATAGGAAGAGAGAGATGAGTGAGCCTGCAGAGGAAAAGCAACATGAGAGGGGAAATTGGAGAAAGTACAGCGTTTATGGAGAAATGAGAAATTATTGATGGATTTGAATGTCATGGTGTGTGTTGAAGGATGACATCATTAACAAATAGAAGGTACTTCTGAACTTCTGTTTCATTCTATGCATCGACCCATTTGTAGCTCTCCTTATGCTGCAGCTTCATAGACTCCTGTAGACATGGAGAAGGCTCTGGTGTTTTCTGTGAGCCTGCTTTTGGAATGGGCACTTGTCTAAATTTGATTGCCAAGAACTGACCACAGTTCCTCTGTCCATGCAAAGATCACTTCATAGCAACATCTCTACTCTACAGGAGGACAAGATGGGTTGTGGTACATGTCTAGTACCACATGTGGTACATGTTCATATCTGTCATAGTCTAGATATGAACTTCTCCCCTGCGCTTGAGCAACGATTTTGTGACTGAAACTATCATGCTGGAAACAAAAACGTAACAAAATTAGAAACCATCTCCACTCTTTTTGGTATTTCAATAGTAATGTGGATATTCACAGAATCCATGTATATTTGGGCTATAATAGCAGGGATAATATACATATTGCTTTGAAATTCTGCTCATCACCTTTCCATTAGTATAAACTTTTTTTTAAATCTTATTTTTCTTGATATGAGTGTTTTGCCTGCATGTGTACCATTTGCATGCTTTGTGCTCATGAAGCTCAGAAGGGGGCATCAGACACCATGCAACTGGAGTTAAGGATGTTGATAAGCCACCATGTAGGTACTGGAAACTGAAGTTGGGTTCTTTGCAAGAGCAACAAGTGCTATAATACCCGAACCATCTCTCCAACACAGATTTGACTATGGTAACAGATAACCAAATTAATTACATATAAAAAAAAAGATTCTCACTCCAATTCTCAGTTCCTTGGTCCCATTGCTTTGGTGAGGTGTCTTGTCATGGTGGAAGCATATGGCAGAGCAAATCCACTTTCATCAGGAGCCGGGTATATGAGATAGGGGCACTGGATTCTTCCTAAAGACCTTGTTGTAAACCCCACCCTTAATGGTTCTAACTCCAGGTAGAGTCTTTCTGAGGATTAAACTTTCCTTCTATGGACATTTGTATAGCATATAAGGGTCAGAGTAGAGCAGCTAAAAGCTAAAGGATTTGACATGATCAAGAATTGAAAAAGCATCTTAGGACCTTGAGGTCTGTGGTTCTAATGGATTATTAGTGAAGTTATGTTATTTAAAAATGAGCAAACAATTGAAGATTATTAATATTAAGTAAATAGCCTACAGCATAAAAACCTTATTACATATGAAAAGTTTAAATCTGTCTTAGAATGTGCATGTGCCAAAGTAAACAAGCCCATGAACGTCTGTCAGTGTTGGCTAACTATTTTGGGGGATTTATCCAGATTATTGTTTATTTCAAATTTAGGACTTGAATCTGTGATTCTAAAAGGTCAGTGGTGAGCTCTCCAAGAGACTGTTCACCTCTGAAGAAGCAAGCAGGCAAACAACAGCAAATTCCAAAACACTAACAACCTGAGAAGTAACCTGGGGTCCTACTGCAATGAGAACAGCCAAACCTGTCATTCCGTGGGCCTGGCTCAAAAACTAATTTAGCAGTTTATAGCTGTTCATGTGCATGTAGCCTCCTCCTAAAAACTCATATGAAAATACCAGAGAGATACAGTGTAGAACCATTAGCAATGCATTGCCACAGTTTTCAAGCTCAATGAACACATGAAAATATCACTGAAGGGGTTATGCCATCCTAGAAGACATGAACTTACCTTTGGACTTTGTTTAACAAACCCACTACAAGAGTTATTTCACCATGGCAGCTAGAGACACCCCTGAGAAGGGAAGCTGAAGGCATCTTAGAGGATCTTAGAGGAAAGAGCTATTTCTTCATTGTGTCTAAGATCTTTGATCTGTAGACTTTAGTGGCCTCAGGGTTGTCAACAGTTAATTCCCCATATGTTCCCCTCAGTCTGTATGGTTTCTTGATGTCAAGAGAAAATTTTTAAGCTATAATGCAGAAAAGGAGAATACCACCTAGACAGCAGTATGTCTGAAATATCAACCCTTAGGTTGATATTTACAGGGTTGGGAGTCATGAGCATTTTAATAGCGAGCTTTCAATATGAGGCTCTAATTGATAAAGTTTGCATATAAAGGCTTTGGGTTAATAAACAGAGGCTGGAGGCTCAAGCAAGTCATAAAGGTGAATAGTGAGGGGAAGAGTTCATCTGTTCTGAGATAGGAAATGTTCAGAGAAAGAAGAGAATCAGTATTATTTTAAGAACGGTATCCAATCGATGATTAAGCTTTCTGTTCTTCAGGTAGATCATTATGGGAAGGTCCTGAGATAAGTACTGGAGGTTTTGTTTGTTTGTTTGTTTACAGCCTGTTTTGCTGGCTAAAAGTTCCTTGAGAAAGTCAGAAGGTTTTGTGGAATGAAGTTAGGCCTCATGTAGTTAAGCCATATGGAGTCAAGTGTTCTGGGTTCTCAAATTTACTGAGTTATATTTTTATCCCTTAATGTATTTACCTATTATTAGATTTGTTAAACTCAACATGACAAACTACAGTTGCAACCATTTTTCTCCAAATGATATACTGTTAAAGTATCTTTTATTTACCTGATGTATTTGTCATCTTGAAGGCTTACCGCCTCCACCTGTTAACCTAGGCCTCTAGTCCTGTAAATTTCTACACTTCATAAAATCTAATCTAGGTCTAGAATGTTTTCAGCCTCTGAGACTTTTGAATAAGTTTACCCTTTGTAGCTCTTTTTTGAACTCTGGCAGACTGGTTCAGCTCAGCTGTTCTGGTTCAAACTCCTCTCCAAACTGACTGATTCCATCTGGCTTCTCTCTGGGTTTCTTACTGAATTGCTCTGCTTGGCTTCAAGCAAACTCTAGCAATCTGTTCTAATCTTCTGGATCCTTCTCATTCTCTTGCTCATCCTGTCTTCACCTCTATCTAGCTTGTTCTCTCTCTCTCTCTCTTTCTCTGCAACCTATCTCTGTAAAATTATACTGGTAAAAACCACCTCTGATTCCATGAACTGAACTGCCACCAACTCAACTACCAGGAACTCGACTCCACTGCACTGCCTCTCAGCTGACCAACTCAGGGAACTTAGAGGTGTGCATATTCCTGTCTCCTGAGTGCTAGAATTAAAGGCATGCACCACCATGCCCAGACCTAAGCTTTTCTTTACCCGAAACTTGCTCTATACCAGGCTGCCTTGAATGGAAAGATCTGCTTGCCTGTCTCCTGGGATTAAAGACTTGTGTCTGCATTCCAGCTGGATCACACAGATCTAGAAGGTCTATGGATATGATCCCTTGTCAGAGCAGCCATGTTGCTGGATTAAAATTCCTCTCAATGTTCTTTTTTGTTCTTATGTCTGAATAAAACTCTTATTGTGTATATGTACCACATTAGCTCTCTTCATCCATCTGTCTGTTAAGAGACCATTGGGCTGATTCCATATCATGGCTATTATATCTTCAAGTCCTTATTACGCTGTTATTCTTATTGTGAGGTCCCTTCTGACTGCTCGCTTTAAAATGATTGCTTTTCATGTGCTTCCCGTTCCACTCAGCAGCATTTCTGATCGCCTTTATTGTTTTACTTCCTCTGTGGAATTTAATATTTCTTGGACTACATCATATTTTACTTAGGTATCATGTTATATGTTTATGTCTTAAACTATTTGTCCTCAATATAATTCCACTAGAGTGCAAGTTCCACAGTAGCTAAACTAAGCGATCATGTGTTCTTTATTTTATGTACGCCAATCTAGATATGTGTCCCACCCTACTCAAAAATGTTTTCAGTTAATGAAATTGTATCATGTTGTGACCAGATAAACATGGCCTGAATAAGGGCAGCAATAGATATGCTTAAGTGGGCGAGGGGAAGCCTAGGAGGCCTCAACCACTGACGAAGAGCTGCAGGCACCAAAATGATGCTCAAAGCAGAAGAAATAGTTTTACCCAGGGAAGAACACACCAGTTGGTTAGCCAATGGTCAACAGATGGAACAAGGTGTTTTTATGTGTTTATGTAACAACAACTGATGAAAATAAAGCCAAAATTTGTAAGAGAGCAAGGCAGCAGTTACATAGGAGCATTTGGAGGGAGGAAAGAGGTGGAAGAATGATTACAATTTCCAAAATAGTAGAAATAATTAAAAATGAAAAATATGTTTGTTGTGGTAAATAAAAATTAGTGTTGGATGATATAATGTTTATTATTATTTCTATAATTATTGTGGCAGTATTATTTGACCTGCTATCACAAATGATAAGACATAGACCCCTGTAGGTTTTATAATTGCCTTATTACCTTGGGCAAATATTTCTACCTGTACTATCTCAATAACCTCATCATCTGTTCTCCCAGCCCCCATCCAATGCCATCTGCCTTAATCATTCCTATCTGAGCTACCTTTTGTCTATAATCTTATGAATACTTGCCTGTTTTCTTCATCTGAGTCTTTTCATGACATTAATGGAGTCCTTCCTCCTGGCCTACATGGTTTCTTCTCCATGCTATCCCATTGTGGAGGCCTCCTTCTTCCTCTCTTCCTGTCAGTCTCTGTCCTGTGATTCTCCTGTCCTCCAAAAGCCCAGGAACCTTAGCCACGCCTACCCCATTCTGCCTGCCCAGGTATAGGACTTTAATCAACCAATTAGGTCTAATGTCTTCAGCAGGTTTACAAAACAAGGATAGGAGTGTCCAGGCAGTAACCAGATCTTGAGGGTTAGTAATTAGCATAAAAATAAAGCATCAGAAAAACCCCAACATTAGTGTACACATTTTATATAGTATGTATATGTGTGTATGTATGTATGTATGTATGTATGTATGTATGTATACATGTATGTACGTATATAGACAGATGGAGAGAGACACATATTTTTTTAATAGGTTATCAGGACACCACATGGAAGAGATTTCGAGGATCCCTTTGAGAAGTGTGAGGAATATTTGAGCCCAAGATCATGTAACAAGCCTCAGCATTCTGCAAGGACCTTGCTTGTTCATTCAGCACCCTCGTCAACACCGAAGCACTGTGTGAGCCCTGTGCTAAACAGAGCCTCTCTCAGGGAAAGGTACGTGTGGTCTCTGTTTTACCTCATCTTTTCTTTTTGAGCACGAAGATTGCCAGGTCAAAGCCAGCCTGGGCTATACCTTTCATTGTTTGAATATTCCACATTAGAAACAGAAAACTGCATATTCATATGAAGTAATTATTTATGCAATTAAAATTTGATTTTAAGGCTTACTTAAATTATTTGTTTGGAATATATAATATATATTTTGATATTTCTCCCTAGCACAATTCATGTGGAGTAAGTTTAATAGCCATGTCTAGCTCTTTTTCCTATTAGTTAATGTAATTTCTTTTTTTAATTTAATTTAATTTTATTAATTACACTTTATTCACTTTGTATCCCCCCATAAGCCCCTCTTAATGTAATTTCTTAAAAGTGAAAATCTGAATATGTGATAGGTTTTTTCAGTAGACCCATGGTGATTTGTTACAATTGCTCTGCCTTAAGTATACAAATAGTCTACACCGAATTTTCCAATTAGTCCCAGTGGTGGAGCATGCATTGTTGTGTGGCATCTGGCTTCTCATTTACCTCCTGCCAGGAGAATCTAAATCTTGGGAAGTGTCAAGCTCTTGCTCTAGGAATGCTTGCAAACCCAGTTAGAAGGGTTTTATGTGTGGTCATGGGAAAACCATTTCTCCATTAGTTTTTTGTTTTTGTTTTTGGAGACTGGGTTTCTTTGTGTAGCTTTGGCTGTTCTAGACTCCCTTTGTAGATCAGACTGGCCTTGAACTCACAGAGGTCCACCTGCCTCTGCCTTCCAGAATGCTGCTATCACAGGGATGTGCCCCACCATGCCCAGCTTAGTTTATTATTTATTCACTTTACATCTTGATCATAGGCCCTGCCCTCCTTTCCTCCTAGTCCCACCCTCATTCCCACTCCCCTCACACCCTATTCCTCAGATAAAAGGAAGCCACCCCCAGCTCATCAAGTCACCTCAGGACTGAGCTTATACTCTTTCCCTGTGGCCTGGAGAGGCAGCCCCACCAGGCAATAGAGTTCATGTGAGGGATAGCACCTGCCTAGCTTGCTGGGGCACCACATGAATTCTTTTTCCACTAAAAAACTATTCTTTTCCTATTAAAAAAAATCTAGTTTAGTTAAAAAACTTTTACAGAGAAATTGAAACTAGATATTTTTAACACCTTGACTCAAGCACTATGTTTACTGATGACATAAAAAAGTAGTCACTAAAAATATAAATGGTATTATATTCATTCATCAGATGTAATTAATAAATATTTAATTAGCTGTAGAGACTCTAGCAATAGTCCAGCTAAAACAACTGCTTTGAACAAGATTATCACTGCTGTATTAAAATATATTATTCTGAACAGAGGGTTTGTCTGTTATTTCACTAGCTTTGTAGGCATTTGGACTCGGGAGGGAGCAGGAAGAGGATGTGATTATGTGTGTGTAATGCAGGCCACTCGATACTGAGTTACAGAATATTTTTAATTTAAATTTGTTTTTTGAGAATTTCATGCTTGAAAACTATACTTACTTCATTCCTTTCTCTTCCCTCCCTACATCTCCTCTTCTGTCTCCTCTCCTCCCTCTTGAATTCATGACATCCTCTTTTATAGTCATTATTGTTACACATGATCTGGAGAAATATGATTCTTCCTCCCCTTAGTGGCCACTGACTTCCTGTAGCTCTGTGGTTGGAACCTTGGAACATTTTCCCCATCCACATTAGCATGTCACCCAGTCCTGCCATTATATAGGTCTTGTTTTGGCAACCATATTGTTGAGATTTCATGGCTAGAAGACACTGTCTTGCAGTAGGCATACTGGTCTTCTGACTCTTAAGATCATCCCACTCCTCCTTTTGTCATATTTCCTGAGCTACAGGGGCTATGTTAGAGATGTACCAGTTGGAGCTGGGCACCTTACAATCACGTGTTTTCTGCATTTTGACAAGTTTTAGAATGAGATACACAATTTTGATTGATGCCATTTCTAGTTCATTAGAATCATGCCTAATGACTGGCACTAGGATAAAGGAGTACTCTCTCATGTACTGTGTGCACACATACATGCATACACATTGCTGTGGTTTTTCCCCCCAGCCTCAAGCCCTTGGAATAAAGACTCATGAGACTAAAAATATATTTATAAATACCTAGGTCCAATAGCTAGGCTCTTCCCTGGATAACCCATTTATTCTAATCTCCATTTAGCCACATGGCTAGTTACCTGTGCTCAGGTATCATGTGTCTGTCCTCTTTCATGTCTTCCTGGGTAAAAACCCTTGCACCTCTCTCTCCCAGAATCCTTTCTTCCTACTGGATGTCCCATCTCCTGTTTTTTTGCCTAAGCTATAGGCCATCAGATTTATTATTAACAGGTGCTACATCCGTACAATACAAAGACATTCTCTACACATACACATGCACACACTCCCCTACTTTAGTCGTTTATTAGAAACTCTTAAAGGGAGGGTTTCTGAAGAAGTCTGATGACTTGAATCTTACCAACAGGAAGCTTTTCTTAATTTTTGCATTTGCTCAGATGTTCAGACACAGCGGATGCATCTGTTAAACTTGCTACAAGAATTACATATTCCTGTGGTTTTTGTTCTGATACTTGTCATGTGTATAGGTTTTCAAGACTGCTTATACTTATCTTGCCTTTGTAAATATTGTTTTCTGTCCTCTTAATTTTTTAATACATTTTGTAGAATTTTCCATTTCTCAATATACTGCAATATCATAGTATCAATTGGAAGGGACCTGAGTTATTTTATCTGTGGATATGTGTATACAATTTTAACTGTCTCTAAATTCTTTGTGGAGTATAGCTAAAGTTAACTTTCTAGTTATATTTCATTGGAAGAAATACTGTAAGAGTAAATATTACTATTTGAACTCTTTTCTACCATACCTCAAGTTTTATGAGATCTGGTTTTACCCTGTAACTCCAGCTGACCTAGAAATTGCTGTGTAGACCAGGCTGGCCTAATTTGTGCTGATATCCCTGTGTCTGCCGTTTGAGGGCTAAGATATGTTATTTCTTGGTGAATAAATGTGCTTAATATTTAAATAATTAAATAAAAAGGTTATTGCTAAAACAAAGTGAGTATCCTTAAAATTCAAAAGTACCTGCTTTACATTTTTAATTGTATTTTTTTCTTTTTTTAAAGATTATTTTATTACGTATACAATGTTCTGCCTGCATGTACATCTGAACACCAGAAAAGGGCACCATATCTCACTATAGATAGTTGTGAGCCACCATGTGTGGTTGCTGGGAATTGAACTTAGGACCTCTGAAGAGCAAGGAGTGCTCTTAACCTCTGAGCCATCCCTCTAGGCCCTGCTTTTGATTGGATAAAAGTAAGGCACATTTAAAATAAATGGTGAATTAGTTTGAACTTAACAAGATGAGTTAAAATTTTACTAATGTATTCGGTGACAAGTGTAGTACTTCTTTCCCACCAAAGTGTAATACCTCTATTTAGATGCAATCGTCTAATAAGAAGAAAATGTTCCAGGTATTCAACTCATATTACTGGAAGTAAAAACAATTTACTCCTTTCAGGACTTACTAGCCCGCTTTAAATGAATGGCAGTCTAGGGATTGGTGTTTGTAGGTTCCTACTAATATATTTACAGGTATTTACAGAATCCATTGAAGTCATGAAACAGTTTAAACTGATGTAACTGTATATTGCTGTCCCAGGAAAAATTGGAAGTTTTGTCTAGCAGTTGAATGTCAGAGACACAGCTGCAGGAGTTTAAATGTATAGTATTCATTAAAATAAGATTTTCTCTAAGATTGAAGTAAGATGGTAACCCTTTGATCATGTTTTTTAGTAAACAGATTTTAAAAAATCTTTATCCAGTTTTAGTCAATGATTTTAGTAAAGGTATTTTTTCCTTTTTACCCATTTAAAAAAAATACCTCTAAAATCGCCATTCCATAAAATGGTTTCAATTTTGATAAGTGCTTCAGAAGTATCTCTCTCTAAATATTATTATTATGACTCCAGATTTGTTTACACTTTACAGTGTTACTAAAATTAGCTTTGACTTTTAGTATACGTAATTAAAAGGGAATTGACACCCTTTTAATTCATGCTTAAGTTTTTTTATTTTGTAAATCATATTAAAGCATGTGAGAGAAGCATTTCTTATTCGATAGCACAGACTAGTGGACCTGTGCACACTGCCATTGATGAAGCTGTGGAGTTGCATCTCAGATTTCCACCGTGGGCTTCCTGTAATTGTTCCACCAAGTCATTTGCATTGATGCAGCTAATCTTTTTATCTATGTGAAAGATTAAGTTTGGGATTATCTATTACATTAATGTCTATTGATTACATTCTTTAAAGTAGAGCTTTTAACCATTAACCTATTTAATGATCTGTACTTTGTATAATAATGTAATATTCTAATTTTGTAAGAATAGGCTGAGAACAAAAAGGGGCTAAATTTAAGTAATGTATAACACACTTCCCATTCTTTATAGGGAATTATAGAGAGCACTTCAGACATATGCATTATAATTAAGGGGATCTGGAAATTTTCATGATGACCTGAGTAAAATAAAATAGCTTAATTATATGAATGTCAATTTTGAATTAAAGAAGAGCAGAGTGAAAAGAAATAGATGCCTTATTTCTGTTCTGACATTTTAAATCCCAATGTGCAGACTCTAATTAAATCCATAGTTTTCTCATCTATATTTAAATATTTCATCCTTTTAAAAATATGATTCTCATAGCAGATAGAAAGGTGATATCACTTTTGTTGAGAAGGGACCATTTTATTTCTATTCCAAAAGAATGGAAATGTGAGTAGATTCTTGTTTCTTCCACATAATAGTATATTAAATTATTAGAGAATAAGTGCTAATTTTAAGGACATTGTACATAGAATTATTGTTCTGATGTGAAAATCTACATTTTATTTATAGATAAGTGCCAAAGAGTAATGTGTCAAAGTCATTATACCTATATAGATCAGCCATGTCAGTATAGTCTCCCAAATACATGTCAAAATTAATTGTTAAAACTATTTTTAGACATTGTATAAAATGAATAGTGTAGCTGAGAATAAGTATTTGAAAAAGTTCTTTCTCCTCATGTTGGCCAAAGGAAGAAATTGTGGTACTTTAAGCTTATAAAGTTTGGGTAAAGTTTCTTTTTGTTTTCTTTCTTTAACAATTACTACCTTTTGTGCCCACAGATTCCACTCTGATTGGTGTTCACCTTCAAACTGTGAAGAGATCCATGACCGGGTAAAAGATGTCTTGAAATCACATCAGGCTCATGCAAGACACTTATGTGTTAGTTTCCAAAATTTTCTCTTTTTATTAAAGACTTTTTAATAGGCTCCCAAACCAGCCAAGGTACTTACAGGTTGTGGCTCTTCGTTAGAGAAGGAAAATGCATTCTCTGAAGGAATCTCTGTGTTTACTACAAGCAACATATCTAACTTCTTGCTTGGCCAGAGATTTACAAAACGCCTTTTGTTTATCATTTTAGTGTATTTTATTACATTTATTCAGTGGTGTGTCTGTGTGTGTGTGTGTGTGTGTGTGTGTGTGTGTGGCGCGCGCAACATGGGTGGAGGTCAGCGAACAACCTTGGTGGTTTCAGTTTGTCAGTTCAGTTCTCTCCTTGCATCATGTGTGTCCTGAGGATCAAGTCAGGTCATCAGGGCAAGCAAGTGCCTATACTGGTGAGCCATCTTTGGTTCTTAGGGTGGTTTCTGCTGTTGTTTTGTTTGATGTTTTAATGAGATTTTTCTAACACTGATCATCTGAATTGTGGGCATTTTTAGTTATAACATCATAAAATCACTAAACATTTTACATACTAAACATGAATAATAATTTAATATACAAGATTTTAACGTTTTTAGTAATAATTTTCAGTCATAATTATTTCATAAAAACACTAAACAGTAACTTCATAATAATCATTTTGAGGTTTTCAAAATGTGGGAACTCCTGTTTTGTGCATTTGGTAAAGGTGCATTTGACTCTACGGGTGGACCGCAGAGATAGAGTATGCATGGAGGACCACTATTGCAGGGCTTTCACAGGCCCTGCTTGTGGTTTAATTAATAAAGAGACAGGCACTCTAGGTAGTTTAAAGCTGTTGGCCTTTTGTTGGGATAGTCTCTTAGTCAACTATCTAACTTTACCTTGGCTTTTCTGCCATACAGTTCCATTAATTCTTCCTCCTGCCTCCATTCTTGGTCTCTCCTTGAGTGTGCCCACATCCTGCCTGCCCAGAATTCCCACTTCTGTGCTTCCTGCCCCAGCTTTGGGCTGTCAGCTCTTTATTACACACACACACACACACACACACACACACACACACACACACAAACACGTTCCAGTCTGAACCAATCAGCAGCAAGACACCTCTTACACATACAAAAAAACAAAACAAACAAACAAACAAACAAAAAACCCCACACATTCCAGTCTGAACCAGTCAGCAGCAAGACATTTCTTATCGGTTGCCCTTTGACAGGTGAGGAAGGACAAGTACTTACAAATAGAAAACAGGTGATGGGCCACAGTAATGACAATTCCAAAAAAAACCTGCCAGCACTTAGCTGGCAATTAACAACTGAAAACATAGGGACATCTGCGGTAGGCTCCCATCTGGTTCACTCTCTTCTAGTGGTTCCTATGTCTATCCTATTTTCCCTTCTGAATGAGAATTAAGCACCTTCCCTAGGGTTCTCTTTGTCATTTGGCTTTTTTAGGTCTGTAGATTTTAGTATGTTTATGTTATGTGACTGTAGCAGTTTACTGTGTTGAGGACAGTTTAGCGTTCACTAAGCTGTAGCTATATCAAATGAGTAGAATAGAGTCCACAGATTCACCTACACAAATGCTACAGCTGATACATGAAAAAAAAAAGTGCAAACTCAATTACACAAAGCCGCAGGAGCTCTTGTCTCTGCCTCCAAGTGTAGAGACCACAAGTGTGCCAGCACTCCTGGTATTGCTTACACTGGTGCTGGGGTTAAACTTAGGTCCTCTGGTCCCCAAGGCGGCAATTCATGGACTCAACTGTTTCCCCAGCCAACACTTTGTATTCTTGTCTTATGAACAAATCGTTCTTCTGTACGAAAGCAAAACAAAAGAACTCAGCAGCAACAAAAAAGAAAAATTCTCTTGGCCCATAATTCACAACAGATCAAGAGATCTTAAGTGTTACAAGACCTTTAAAGGAAATCAGAAAAGAAAATGTAGACAATTTACATTTGGCGAGGAATTTTTTTGAAATGAGACAACCCATACCAGACAAAAACAAATTAAACTGGACTTTATAAAATTTATATGTTTGCCTCATGAAAGTAACTGGTAGAAGAATAGAAAGCCTTAGTCTGGGTGAAAATTTTTTCAGCAAGGTCTGGATTTGATATCAAGACCCATGTGTGGTAGGGAGGAGGGGTTGGAACTAGCCTAGTGAAAGTTCACATCGCAAGCGATTATCAGGTTCACTTTGGTGTCCTATGTTGTGAAGGAGTCTTCTCTGTGATATTGTCACCCTAGTCTTACTTGAGAAAACATAAGACAAAACTGAATTGAAAGGCTGTCTTTAAAACATGTAAGCACTGGGCTGGAGAGATGGCTCAGTGCTTAAAGGCTTAAAGGCTTAAAGCTTAAAGGCTAAGCTCACAGGCAAACCCATAAAATACATACTCTTCCAAATTACCAAGTAACCAGCCACAGGTTAGAGGAAACCCCGGAGAACCGGTGACTAATAATGCATGGTCTTTTGCACTGAGTCTGTAAAGTAGAAGGGCATTGTTGAGAAGACCAGAAATCCAAACACATCCGGCAGCTAATGTAAAGGTAGCAATACTGATGAGAGAGTTTGAGTTTGGCTGAGTGTACCCTGCTCATGTCAGACCCTCAATGAACGGGGTGTTTCTGTGTATCATTCTGTACCATCTTTGCAATTTTTCTATAAATTTAAAATAAAGGTAAAAGAGGGTTTCATTTCAGCCCCCCCCCCCCCGCCCAAGTTTTAGGAAGAGTTGGTGTGAGTCCAGGTTTCCTGTGTAACTTTTGCTGGCTCAGCATGGAGTGTACTTTAGTGCCTTCCCTCACTCTTGACGTTTGCTCATCACGGAGGGAGCAGTAAGCTCAGCTTTGCACCCATGCAAGATCATTGGAACTTGAGTCTTAGGGGATTTCCAGACCTACGGAGTTCTCTGTCCTCAGGCAGCTGACCTGTTGAACAAAGCATAGAATCTCGGTATTTGTTTTGGGCTCAAAAGCCACAGATGCTCCCAGGAGGAAGCCAGGTGGCCTATTAGCTCATCTCTTTGGGGTCATCTCTTCTGGAGAGTCTAGTCACCATAATTACAGCTGTTTGAGCAGCTTTCTGGTGCTTTTCAATACCAGAAGAATTAATGTAATCAGTTTACTATATCCTGTTCAGAAATAGGAGACTTTCACTCCAATTTTTTAAATCAAATTTGTATTTATTTGGTATTCTGGGATGTAAGATAATGCTGCTCATGTTAGCTTACGCTAGGCACTAATTTCAATACAGTCCAGCAGCAAACAGAGCACAAACTTAGAGTCAACATTTCCAGCCTGTATGCATTCATATAGCATCCCCTCCCTGAGGGGATGCTCAACACAAAGCTCAGAGGCTCTTCTCATGAAATCAGATTTTCTTCCTGTGAGGAGAGAAAATAGACAGTGCTTTAATAAATCACTGAATGGCTATGAGGCAGTAAAAACAAACAAGAACCAAAACCAAGTGTGCTAGGGCATGTAATTAAGAGTATCAACGCAAAGCATAAGCATGGCATATTGTTCTCTCAAAGAAAAACTGAAATTGGCATATAGGAATCGCGATATTTGTTAGAGGCTAGGCCCTGTGTACACACTAGTCTGTTTTCCTTACAGTAATCTTGTAAATTAAGTATTATTAGGTAATAAGCAATAGTTCAAAGATGAGGAAGCTGACATTCAGAAAGTTTAAGTGACACGTATAAGGTTACATAGCCACTATTCATGGTTTTAACCAAGATTTGAATCCAGATAACATCTTTATCTTAACCACTCCATTCTACAGTGATGAATACTAAGTACATCCTGATACACATAAGCCCAGAGATGTGGTCCAGCTTAAGCATGTAAGAGCCATAGATGTATACATCTTCAAGAATAAGTCAGTGTGATACACCAGACATGGCTGTTGATCTACTTGGTATATCAGCTTTTTTTCTTTTTCTTTCTTTCTTTCTTTTTTTTTTTTTTTTTTTTTGTGAGGAAATTAACTTTGTTGGTTTAGGACAAGAATAGGAGCTTAAAATGAGACTTGCCAAAGTATTGTGACGGAGGAATCAATCAGAAAGGATGTGTGATTTGTCAGGATATATTGTAGTTTAGATTTGATAGTTTGAAATTGAAATCTACATTGGAATTTGTTGATTTGCCACTTAATTCCAGGCACTAAACTAAGTAATATTTTATGCGGGGTTTGAAAGCAGACTTTTGTCAAATATATTTTTATAATTTCCTCATAGGTGTTACAAGTGTTGATATATTTAGTATATGTAGCATGCTAAGAATGATAGCTATATAATAGGCATTTAATTAATCTTCCTCTTTAAAACCATGTACCTCCTAACTGGTCTGGGGCTTCCAGCGTTCCATAAACTCACAGACCCTCTAGAGTCCAGCAATGTGAAGGAGTGGATGATCCCCAGGGGCCAGACCCTGCCATTTGTTCTGCATTCTCACATTCAGAACCTGTGGACCCTCCCAGCCATACCCAAAGAAAGTTTAAAGGAGATGCAAAAAGAGACAAACCCAGAGCTAGAGAGCTGGCTCAGTGGATAAGAGTCCTTGTTGCTCTGGAAGATGACCTGGGTTTAGTTCCCAGCCATTTATAACTCCTGTTCCAGTGAATCCAACACCTTCTTTGACCTCCAAGGGCACCAGGCACACATAGCATACATACATACACACATGTAGGCAAAAACATGTACACATAAAATAAATTTTTAGAGAAGAGAAAAAGCCAAGGCAAAAGGCCAATCAGCAGATGACCCACAGAACCTTCAGAGAAGGAGCCAATGCCCACAAGGGGCCTGCAAAGACAGGGGAGAAGATCCATGAGGGGGTGAAAAGGACAAAAAGAAACTGCCGAGGTGCCAAAACCGAGCAGGCACTGAGAGCTGGGGGGCTGCAGATGCCCAGGGGCGGGCGCAGGTTTCACAGCTGAACTTAGGCACAGTGCAGGCTGAAATACCATTTTATCACATTTTACATAAAGATGCAGAATTTGAGTTTTTAAAACTCTCTTAGCACACAAAGCACTTCATTGTTTGGGGAAGATGGCACATATGTCACTAAGAGCCTGCCTGATGTGGGGAAATTGTCCTTCTCTGGCTGTTTGGAAGACTCCGAGAAGGGACCATAGTGACACACATGGCCACCTAGGTACAGAATGCTTTCTTATGTGGGAGGGCCCAGATCTATTTTTATTTTCTCCTCCTCTCCCACCATCAACATAGACTTAAGTCCCTTAAAATCCAGGGCACTGTTGGGACCTGACCCCCAAAAGCACTCTGAGCTCTGCAGTGGCATCATACATGGTTGCTTATTTTTATTAAATGACACTTTCTTTGATTTTCTACATAGCATAGTGTTAGATCCTGGACTGATCATGGTGTCTCTGGCCATCCTGTCTCCTAATATGAGCTTTAAGATGATGGTCACTATCTGTCCAGATCACCCAGCATGAAGACTGTGTGAATCGATTTTCTAAAGGCCCCACACATTTCTCTGGGTTGGAGTCGTAAGAAGCCCTGCTGCACTGTAGTTTTTATACCTGCTTACTCAGTCTTGCTCAGTACCTGGCTCCTCTATTCTCCTTGTTTCCTAGACTAAATGACATGAAGAAGGCCCCATCACCCTATAGAAGATATTTTCCTTTGTTTGTCAGGATTTCACTAAAGTCACTTCTCTGCGACTATCATGTCATTCTGTCCATAGCATCTATATTCCTTTTACTTTAAATTATTCTTCTTAGTGAAGCTAATTCAGGTTTTTGGTCTTTGTTTTTGTTTTGCTTTTTATGTACATGGGTGTTTTACTTACATATAAGTCTGTGCACATGCCTGGTCCCCTTGGATGCCAGAAGTGGGTATTGGATCCTCTGGAACTGGAGTTAGAGACGGTTGTGAGCCACTGTGTAGGTGCTGGGAATCAAACCTGAGCCCTCTAGAAGAGCAGCAGGTATCCTTTAACTGTTAAGCGTTTTCTTCCCTTTAGGATCTCATCATGTCTCTAAAAGACTATGCTGTCTTTTCAATGCTCTCAGACACGGAGAACTGACCACGGTGTCCGCGGCTGTCCTTCTCCTAATGCAGCTTATTCCTGAAGGGTCAATTTGTGAGAGCTACTTCCCACCACCCACCCACCCTCTGTCTTCTCTCATACTTCTAAACAGACCATATTTTGTCTTTTAACACCTCCAAACCTCAGAAAATAGTCCCTGTTCCCCTTACTAGGGAACACCCTTGGATACTGAGCTACCATGGGCTACATCCAAGCAGGGGTTCTAGGTTATATCCATACATGGTTCTTGGTTGGAGATACAGTCTCATCAAAGACCCCTGGGCCCAGAGAATGGGGTTTTGCTGAAATGGACATGATCATTATGTGGTACTTCTGCCTTAAAATGTTTTGTGGGAGGAAGGTAGAGGCTTTTGAACAGTTGGGCTCAAAAAGCCAGTCAGTGCTCCAAGCACAGTGAGAGAAATGGAGGCTGGTTTCTGATCTTTCAGAGGGAATCTTATGGGCTGTTCATGTGATATTTTTGACTAAGAATCTGAGGAAGTAAAATCTTTGTTTTACTGGGACAATTGGTGCTAGTTAGCTGAGGCTAATAATAATAATAATAATAATAATAATAATAATAATAATAATAATAATAATAA